CCTCCAGATTTAGCAAATAAAAACAGAAGATACTCAGTTAAACTTGAATTTCAGATGAACAACAGGTAGCTTTTAAGTCTAGTACACCTATAGCTCATCTGGGAGATACCGCCGCTGAAGGTGAAGTGCAGCACTGGGGACCAGAGCAGCAGAGCATCTGGGGTGAGCAGAGCTGAACAGCACACCAGGGTAAGACCAGCTGAGCAGTGGTTGGCACAGGAGATTCTGCCCTGATAGGGTCCCCCTTTGACCCGGTAGCTGAGCACAGTTGCTTTAAAGGGCAGCAATCAAGGAAGCAAAGGCCCAGTGGGAAGTGTAGCTTGGCCACACCTATGTCATGCTCCACCCTGTGGCCCCACCTACTGGCCAGAGGAATTTTTGTCTTGGCGACTTCCAGGATATAGATTTTCCTCTGGGTATAATTCATCCTTCTTTCATTCATTCAACAAATTTTTATTGAGCATCTACTATGTTCGAGCCATTAAAATAGTTGCCACTGATATAACAATAAACAGAGACACATCTTTGCACTCCAACCAAAGTATTTATGTTGCTTTAAAGTTTTTTCTTGTATTCTCCGTTGTAAAATTGCTCTTGCCCAACAAATCGCTGGTTTAAAACAAGCACCGTGTGCAATTTGACTGCCGCGAGGGGAGACAGGAAGTCCTGTATCCCATTTCCGCAGTGTAGCTTCAGCATTCCCATGGGGACACGGGATCGTGGTGTAAAAGGTGGTTAATCCTGTCAACCGATCTCGGAGCAGGTAAAGAACTGATACCACGGGTCCAGTTTCAGGGGCCACCAGGAGCGCTTAGAAATACTCCAAAGAGGGATTCCTTGCTACATGTTTCACGGGGGGTGCCATCCTGTCCGGCAAACTTGAATGAAATGTTTGGTTTCAGACTGAATAGTGGTTTTTGTTTTATTTTGCTTGTGCTATTTGTAAAATACAAGTGTCGGGGTTCTTTCTTAGAGGTTTTGACGAACAGGGGGAAGCATTGAAATGCCAGAAGCCCATGAGTTTCAGGAACTGACCGACCGCCGAGAGAGTCATCCCGAGAAAACACTTCAACTGAAAACAATAAAAGCTGTGACTATGTTACCTGCAAAACTACCTATAATATTAAAAAATAGAAAATAAGACAAATGTCCAACAATACGATATTTATTAAGTTCATTATATTGTATCCCTGAATAATAGTGAAAACTATTTAGATAGAGGAAAAACACTGAGGACAAACTGAATAAAGGAAGGAAATTTCAAAACTTGTCTAGATTCTCTGATTACAGCGATGTAAACCTTTTCAATGAAAATTCACATTCTTCCTGTTTGCACAAATACACAATAATGAAGTAGTACTTCAGATAGTGAAATATAGTCTTTTCTCTTTGCTGTTATTTACATTGTATATCTCCGTAGAATGTAAAATGAGTTTAAAAAGAAAAATATGAGCTATAGGAAGAAGGGCCACGTGACTACATGTTTCTATTAGAATCAGGGTGTTTTTAGTTGCAAGGTACCGAAAATGTAACTTCCTATGGTTTAAAAAAATAGAGGGCACCCTGACCAGTGTGAGTCAGCTGGTTGGAGGTTGTCCTGCAAAGTGAAATGTCGCTGGTTCGATTCCCAGTCAGAGCACATCTCTGGGTTGCAGGTTCCATCCCAGGTTGGGGTGCACATGAGAGGCAACTGATGCACTTTTCTCTCTCTTTCTCCCTCCCTTCTCCTCTCTCTAAAAAATAAACAAAAATCTTTTTGAAAAATAAAAACATTAAAAGGGACTTTTGGTTCATCTAACTATGAAGTCCACAGGTGGGTGGGATTCAGGTACCGTGTGCTCAGGGCTCTGACTTCACTTCTCTGTGCCTCTCTTGCGTCTACCCTTCCCCATGTGTGGGCTTCCTCCTGAGGCTGGCTTTCCTCATCGTCCCAAGACAAAGAAGGTGAAACTACAGGCTCCTCTTTAATATCTTCGTTCAACATAGGGGGCAGGCGGCACCTCTATGGAATGAATGGGAATATTGGCTCCCTTCTAATTGGTTCGCTCCTATTCCAGATGCTGGCCTTGCGCTCCAGAGGTTTAGCTTTTGTTTGAGACCAACTAAAACGCACCCCTAGATCTGGCGGTAGTTCAGTCTTACCCAGAGTGCGTGTGGCTTACATGTTGGGTAGGAAACCTTACTGTCCACTGTACCTTGGTATGGGCGGAAGAGTGTCACAGAAAGCAGGAATATGAGCTGGCTGGAAGTTGCGAGTTTAATAGCTACATAGTGCCATGGCTCACACCTTAGATGTCTCCTTTCCCTTCTGAAATGATCTCAGCCACCACGGGAAGAAATTGCAGATAGATTGGAGATAAAAGAATAAATCAACTCAAAGGACACACTGGAGAATATATCTGTCCATATGAATGTCTTTGTGAGTGTAATGTTGGAGTAAAGAATACCTTGTTAAATAAGTACAAAAACAAACCACAAAAGAAAAAGCTAATATGAGTACTTCAGAACTTGCAACCTTGGTATGACAAAGACACTATAAACAAAGGTAATAGACAAGTGACATCAAGGAGAAAATACTTGGAATTTATATCAAAGAATTAATATCCAGAATGTGAGAGAATAATATTTTCTTCCTTTTATTTTTAAAGACTTTATTTACTTTTAGAGAGAGGGAAAGGGAGGGTGAGAAACGTCAATGTGTGGCTGCCTCTCGTGCACCCCCCACCAGGGATCCAGCCCACAATCCAGCCACATGCACTGACTAGGAATCGAACCTGCAACCCTTTGATTTGCACACCAGCACTCAATCCACTGAGCCACAGATCATTTCTTCCTTTTAGCAGTAACAACCTCCCAAGTGTTAGCTGAGCACATGGCAACACAGCCAGAGACTGCAGTTCCAAGCACCCCTTGGAGCCAGGCATGGCCACGTGACTAAGTCCTGGCCAGTGGGATCTGAGCAGGAAAGGCTAAGTGCCACATTTGAGTTTCTTTCCTAAAATGAATGAATCTTTCCTTCCTCCTTCACCATTTCTCCGGGGCTGGAAGGTGGGGAGGTAAAACCCTAGTCCCATAGCTCCCATAGCCGCACAATGTGCTCTGGGGTGCCACTACGAACTCGTAGGGGTGCTGTGGAATTCCTTAAATTTTGAGGAAACAAAGCAAAATTGCTGTCGAACACAAAATGCTAGCTTGAGTTGAGAAAGCGAGTGCCTCTAGAACATCTACGTGGAGCAGGAAATGAACGGTGGTTTCCAACCTGATTTTAAAGTTTGATCAGTTATGCAGTGTGCAAGGGACACCAGGATGTTAGGGTGTGACACTTGTGAACTTGCCTGAGGCTAATTATTTAATAGATGGGATTGTTAGATATTTATTTTAGCTAGGAGCTCTGCAAAAAATGTCTTAAGTCACTTAAGGGTACTGTGAAGAGAGAAAGTTGGAGAAGCTCTGCCTAGCGGTGGCATGACAAGACAGGAAGAGTCTGGGTTCTGTATGATCTCGTGGACCTCCTGGAGCAAAGCTGCCTGCCGCCCCTGGACTTCCCACCTGCTTCTGGACTATTGCATGTGAGAGAAATCAACTTATTTCCCACCAAAGCCACTGCATTTTCAGTCTGTGTGTTCTAACAGCACGGCAGACAGTGGGGTGTCCCGGGGAGGCCTCCCCAGATCCCACTGTGGAGGCACCTGCAGACAGTGCCTGTATACGCTGAGGGCTTCCCGAATCTCTTTTACGAGAACATAATATTGTATTACTTTCACAAAGTTAAAAAAGTTAAAGAAAGTCAACCCAGCGCAATATAACACAGGTGATCAAACCAAGACTTGGTTAGTCAGTCTCAAGTGAAACCAACCAGAAACATATGAATGGGGGTAAAAATAAAGTTCTGTGTATATAAGCAAAAAAAAAGATCTAACTCAAAAGACTTAATCTCCCGCCGCCGGCTGCCGGCCCGCCGCAGACGCAGGCCGATCTTTTCCTAGGCTGCCCGGCAACCGCGCTCTCGAGTTGGACCTTCCCGCGTCAGGCTGCCCCGCAGTCCCGAGGCCCCCAGTCGCGCAACTCGGGACGCCTTTGCAACAGCAGCTCAGAGCTGACCAGCAGGGTGAAGGGTGAGCTGGAGACACGGACGAATCCAGCTCACTCGGGATGTGATGAGCTCCATCCATGACCAGTCTTCCCTGATGTCATCGCATCTATTGTTTTTTTTTTCCCAATTCCCTGTCTACAAGTCCATGAAGGCCTTGCACACAATGTATCAGAAGGTGCCCAACTCGGTGAGTTTTTTTAAAAAAGAAAAAGCTACGGGGGCAGGCAGCAAAGCCAGCCAGGAAAAGATGAGTTTAAGGCCAGTGTTTGGAGATCAGACATTTCCCCTCAAAGGGAGGGCGGGCCTGGCTCGGTGAGACAGGTTTTCAGAGGTGCAAGAATAGACACCAGTCTATTCAGCGGCCGCAGAGGCGTTCAGGGCAGAGGAACACGCCACAGGGGCCTTCTCAGGGCTATGTTTGGAAGCAGCTCCTCTCCCCCCAGGTTCAACCATCATGAAACAGCTTTCCTTCTTATCCTCCAGATTTGTCGTCAGGCAATTGTCACTGCTCCCAGGGGCAGAATGTTCAGAGCTGTTCCGGGACAGCAGGAGCAAAGATCCCAACGGTGGGGAAAGCAAAATGTTCGGCGGAAGGCACAGCGGGTGCCTGCCCTGGACTGCCGGGGTCCCCGCTCGGCTCTACCGGGGCCGCCGCCCGCCGCCGGCTGCCGGCCCGCCGCAGACGCAGGCCGGTCTTTTCCTAGGCTGCCCGGCAACCGCGCTCTCGAGTTGGACCTTCCCGCGTCAGGCTGCCCCGCAGTCCCGAGGCCCCCAGTCGCGCAACTCGGGACGCCTTTGCAACAGCAGAACACTAAGCGCAGCTCCCACCCGGTCCCGGGATCCCACACTTCCGCCGGAAGCCGGCCCGGCCGAGAGCGCCGCGTGTGACGTCACGAACCCGACGGAAGTCGGGGGGCGCGCCCTGGAGGCGCCGGTGCGGCGCTCCGGCTTTGGGGTCGCCTTTAGAGGTAAGGCGTCCTCCGCCGGGCGCTCAGGTTCCCCAGCAGGCCAAGAATGTCCGTCCGTCTGTCTGTTCGTCTGACCGCCCCGCGCACTGGTGTGTGGGAGGCCGCAGCCTTCTTCAACCCCAAATAACCTCCCAGCCTCCTGAGCCCCGCCCCCCACTTCAGGTTTTGGCCCCCAGGAAAGGGGCCCACCTGCTCGGCCCACCTGCCGGGGTCCTAGGCTGGAAAGGGGCTTCGGAGAGACCCTTCTGTCGGTCCCCGGCGCCGACACCTGGCTCCCAGCTTATTTTTTCCCCAGTTAGCTTCTTCTCCAGAAGTCTTATAACCCCATTCGCCCTGCGGGGTCTCGCATCCCCCGAGTTTCAAATTCTCCTCCTCCGTGTATTCCTCCCCCGACTCCTATTTCGCGAGTCGTCTTACGTGAGTGCTGACTTGATCTGTCTTTGCAGCCAGACTCAGCCGCCTGGAGGAGCCATGTCTCCTGCAGCCTTGGGTGTCCCCTCCTGGTCCGGGCGCCTGCCTCTGCGCAAGAGGAGATGCCGTTGGAATTCCCCGTGAATGCTGGCAGGAGGAATGTCCGAGCCGCCCGCCGAAAACGGTCCGAAAAAGAGCCATATGTAGGCCGGGGACCCCGAACCACGTCGTGAGAATTGCTGCTGTTCGTTTCTTCTGTCTCACCCCGTGAACAGTTCCTAGTTCTGTCATCGTAATGGGAAGTCAGGCCCAGAGTCCTATTTGCTAAGGCCAAAAGTCAGCATCTCCAGTGTCTTAATACAGACCCCTGTTCTCACGTCCCTTCATAGACGGGATGCCTGTGCTGGGCCCTCCACCGCCTGTAGGGGGTGCTTGTTCCAATGGCGTTGCCCGCACATTCTTTAGGCTACGCTCTGTGTCAACATCTGTGTGGATTTTTGTATATGTTTAAGGAAGTAAGAGAATGATTTGTTGCTGGGGGAGGGAAGGTGGATGCCTTTTGCATATTTTCCCCGCCTTAGTTTGGAATTTGCAGATAGGAGATGCCCCAGAGCGGACCACACGGGTTTAATTAGGGGACTTGTGCAGGGGAGGGAGCTCAGGCCTGCCGGGGGCCTGGCGGAAGAGGCCGTGTGCGTACAGGCTGGCGCATTTTGTTTCGGGAACCATTTAGGGAGCTGAAGTCTGAAGACAGGAGCCATGGAATGAATCCCTCGGCGTAGTCACATTCTTTCTGTTCCTTTGTAGCCCTAGGATGGACTTCCTGGTTCTCTTCCTGTTCTACTTGGCTGCGGTGCTGGTTGGTGGCGCCACGATCTGCGTCTGCTCCAGAACCAGTTACCTGAGAGGCCTGGTCAGGGGAGGCACACAGGTAACAGTGCTGCTTGGAGACCCCCGGGGTTGTAAATGTCACCCGTTCAGAAGGCTCACCGGTGTTCCCGATGGGACAAGCAAGAGGCGCCTTTTTTATTCGTGTGCTCGCTCGCTCTTTCAATTGTGGCAATTGTCGTGTACTGCAAACTCTTAATGTGTTTTTTCCTTATTGTTTAAAGTAATCTTGTATTGATGCTTTGAGAAAAGGTAGCAATCTTTTTTTTTTCTTAATTAAAAATTTTGTTTATCTTTAAAGAGAGGGGAAGGGAGGGAAAAAGAGAGGGAGAGAAACATCAGTGTGTGGTTGCCTCTCACAACCCCCTTACTGGAGACCTGGAATCCAACCGGCCAGCACTCAATCCACTGAGCCACACCAGCCAGGGCAGAAGGTAGTGTTCCTAAGGTTGGCTCTTTTTCTCTGGATCTGATGCCTTTAATTGGGCGTGGATTTGAGCAGTGTCCTCTTGGAGGGGCAGTGATGGGTGAAACTGGGGCGTACAGGAGCAGAAAGCTGAGCATCGGGCTGCCCCCGCTCCTTCAGGAGTCAAAGGGAACAAAACTGGGGTGTACAGTCCTTGGGAAGGGCTTGGCTTGGGAGGGACCTGGCCTAATGGCCAGTGACCTGGAGGTGGACGCCGGAACGTAGGACGGAGCCCAGGGCAGGGAAAGGAGCGGCACTCACCTGAGCATCACCTGACCCAGCTGCTCTGCTCCGCTCCCGTGACTTGAAGACCCTGACGTGGCGCCTTCATGGAGGTCAGGGTGGAAGATGGAGGAGCTGACCTCAAAGGAAGGCCAGCTGAGGGGAGCTGTCCTCTTTACGCTCTTAAATCTCTTCTCTGCCCGTGTGCAGGGCACAGTATCACCAGTGTTGTCGGCTGGACAAGAAGCCTCTGATTCGGCCGGAGCCGGGGGGAGGGGGGAGAATGAAAAACGAAACTGAATGTTTCTCTTTTCCTTTGTTTTAGGTATTTTCCTATATAATTCCGGAATGCCTTCAGAGAGCGATGCTAAGTTTGGTCCATTACCTCTTTCACACACGGTATTTATATTTAAGTTTAAGTAATGTCTTCCTTTCTGTTTTGACTGGTAATTGGTGCTATTCCGCAGCCCCAGGAGGCTCCTGTGGTCTCCAGTGTGACACGGAGAGGAGCGCCACCAAGGACGGGGCGTCTGGGCTCAGAGCCTGCTCTCGCGGATGACCTGCCCTTTCTCTCCGGGCGTGGGGCACGTCTGCTTTCAAACAGAAGTGTTTGGAGAGTGGGAGAACACTGACACGCATTTCCATACAAAGAAGTATATTCAGATACAGAGATCTCAATTCCCAAGACAGCTGATAAAAATAATAGATAACATTTATTGAGAACTCACTATGTTTTAGGCACTATGCCGAATGTCTCACGTAGTTCCTCATGTAATTCTTACTGTTCTCGAAGCCCAGAGGAAGCGGGGGGCCCTCGGTTGACTTTCCCCGGGACAGCATGATCTCCTCTCGGGAGAGCCCCAGGAGCAAGCCGTGTGCCTTGTCTTTTCAGGAACTACATCTTCGTTGTCCTGCACCTCACCTTGCAAGGGATGGTTTATACCGAGTACACCTGCGAAGTGTTTGGCTACTGCCGAGACCTGGGCTTCTCCTTGTGCTACTTGCTTCTGCCCTACCTGCTGCTGACTGTAAACCTGGCGTTTTTCACCCTAAGTTCTGTGACCGACCCTGGTACGTTGAGGCTCTAGGCAGAACCAGCTCCGCTGTCAGTCTTACTGATGGTGCTGCAAACACGCAGTGCTCCCGCGAGGGACTTCACAACAGATTTGCTGCTTAGTATTTGCATAATCTTTCCATTTTCAGTGTGTTGTAATTTTATTTTTCCTTCCTTCTTTGACCCATGGGTCATTTAGAGCATTTGAAAGTTTTTCCTTGTAAATTTTTTAGTTACTTCTCTATTTTTATTTATTTTATTTTTTGTCCTCACCGGAGGACATGCTTCTTGATTTTTAGAGAGACGGGAAGGGAGAGAGAGACACAGCTGCCTCCTGTATGCACTCTGACCAGGGACTGTACCTGCAGTGTAGGCATGTGCCCTGCCTGGACTCGAACCCATGGCCTTTCAGTTTACAGGACGATGCTCTACCCAGCTGAGCCACACTGGCTAGGGCTAGTTTAATTTTTTATACTTCCACTTAATTGTATTTTACAGAGAGCTTATGTTCTGAAGGATAGTGTTTCTTTTTTTTTTTTTAAGATTTTATTTATTTATTTTAGACAGAGGGGAAGGGAGGGGGTAAAAGAGGGAGAGAAGCATCAATGTGTGGTTGCCTCTCGCACACCCCCCACAGGGGACCTGGCCCACAACCCGGGCACGTGCCCTGGCTGGGAATCGAACAGGCGATGCTTTGGTTCACAGGCCGGCGCTCAGTCCACTGAGCCACACCAGCCAGGTCTGAAGGATAGTATTTCTTTTGAAAATTTTATTGATATTTGCACTATGGCTGGGCATATAGTTTTTGTAAATGGCCCATGTTCTTGGATATAGAGAACCGTGTAAGTTCATTACATCAAGTTTATTATGTTCATGTCTTTTATAGTCATACTAATTTTTTGGTGAGAGGTATTATCTCATTCCGATAGTAAACTTGAGAGATTTCTTTTTGTACAATTTTGCTTCACATATTTTGAACCTACTGTTTGTGTATTTGTGTGTGTATATATTATTTCTTAGTACAATTCTTAGTATAATTTCTACATGTAATTCTTAGTAGATACATTAAGTTTAGAATTAGTATTATTTCTTCCCTTGAAACTTTTTTCAATATATAATGAGCCTCTGTCACTGGTAATTGCTTTCAAGTCTCTTTTGTCTAATATTAATATTATTCTATTGTCTTTCTTTTGATTGACATTTGCTTGTTTTTTCCCCCATTCTTGTAATTTTAACCTTTTCTGTCCTTGAAGTGTTAAATGTCCACCAACTGCTGAATATTGCAATAGAATGTGGTATGCCTGTTGAGGGGACTATCGTTCAGCAATAAGAAGGAATGAAGTCCTTATGTACCTGCTACAACACAGATGAACCTGGGAAACAGTGTGTCAGTGAAGAGCCAGACACCAGCGGCCGCACCGTGTGCTTCTGTCTGTGCAGAGTGTCCAGGAGAGCACATCCGTGCAGACAGACGTGTTGATCCGTGGCCGCCGGAGGTTGGGGCGTAGGGAGGAATGGGTGCTGACCGCTGCAGGGCTGCTTTTTCTGCGGCGGTGAAAGTTGTGATGAAACTGGCCGTGTTTACAACTCTGTGATGTACTAAAAACCACCGAATGGTGCGGTGTAAGTGGGCAAATTGGTTTTTTGAATTGCATTTCATTAAAGCTGTGAAAAACTATAAAATGAATTCAAACATTAAATATAGCAATGCTTCATTGTGCTGTGTCAGGACAGACTTCGTGAATATCCTGTATTACCTGTGTCCTTACTTTTTCCAGGTACCGTAACAAAAGCAAACGAGTTATTGCTTCTTCAAGTGTACGAGTTTGATGAGGTCATGTTTCCAAAGGATGCGCGGTGCCCTACGTGTGACTTACGGAAGCCAGCACGGTCCAAGCACTGCAGTAAGTGTGGCCCCGCGGCCGCGCTCCACCTTCCCGCAGCAGACTGCGAGTGGGCGTCGTCTGCAAGGGCCGTTTGACTGCCAGACGCGGGGCAGCCCCTGCTGGCAGAGGCCCGAGAGGGGCCTCTTTCAGATGGCGGGAGGTGAGGTCTTGTGTTCTTGCCTAGTGGGCAACTGTCCGTGCTGGGCGGGACAGCCCTTCCTCGGCCCCGTGGCTGAGCGTCCTGCCCAAGGGGTGTTTCCGCAGGACGTGGTGCTTGCAGACCCCCGTCGGGCAGAGCCTGTTCTGGGGAGTTACCACCGTGCTAGACTGGTGCCGTCCAACAAAAACACAGTTTGGGCCGCATACGTGGTTTAAATTTTCTAGTAGCTATACTATAAAAGTAAAAAGAAATAGGTGAAATTAATTTTATTCTCATAACTTATTCAGCCTAACATATCTAAAATACTATTTTGCCCTGGCTGGTGTGGCTCACTGGATTGAGTGCTGGCCTGTGGAGCTGAGGGTCGCTGGTGGATTCCCAGCCAGGGCACGTGCCTTGGTTGCAAGCCAGGTGCCCAGCAGGGGGCGCACAAGGGGCAGCCACACATTGGGGTTTCTCTCCCTCTCTTTCTCCCTTCTGCTCTCTGAAAATAAATGAATGAAATATTTTAAAATTCTATTTTAACATGTAGTTGTATTTTAGAAAGCATTTATGGGATAGTTTATAGTCTCATTTTTGTAGTAAGTTTTTGATGTAGGTTCAGAGAGGTTTCGGCACCTCTCATGCAGACACTAAATTTTCATCGGAAATTCGGGGTCTGCGGTTAGTCATCATAAAGTTCGCCGTTGGAGAAGCAGGCTCACTTACCCGAGCTGTCCCGAACAGTCTTGACAGTTCTTCATGAACGCAGCCAGCACCAACGTGTCGTTTTCTGTAACATCCACATGTGCGTTGACACAGCGGTTTATCAGAAGAACTGATTGGCCTTTGAAGCAGAAGCGTTTGTTTGAAACTGCCCAAGTTAAGTAAATTCACTAACTCCTTCCATCCCAGTGTTGTCCACATTGAACTCAGTAGGAGGACTGCACACACTGAAAAACCACTGTAAGTGTATGGACGTCAGCGAGCGTTCTCTCGAGTGTTTCTCGTGGCCGCACATCAAGTGCCCACCAGCCACAGCAGGCTGGGCTGGCGGCGGCTGTACGGACACTGCAGCCCCAGCAGCTGCCGTTTCCCCCGCTCCCACGGCCAGCAGCCCGTTCGTGGGACAGCCCGTAGGTGTGCGTGGTGTCACTGTCTGTCTCGTCAGGCACCAACTCGGGCGTGCGGCTTTCTGTTGCCGTGCAGGTGTGTGTGACCGGTGTGTGCACCGTTTCGACCACCACTGTGTGTGGGTGAACAACTGCATCGGGGCCTGGAACGCCAGGTACTTCCTCATCTACCTCCTGACGCTGACCGCGTCAGCGGCTGCCGTGGCCCTCGTGAGCACCACGTTGCTGGTCCGGGTGGTGGTGCTGTCCGGCTTGCACCTGGAGACTCGCATCGACGACCTTGGACACGCCCAGGTTATCGACATCTTCCTGCTTGTTCAGGTAACTGTGTTGTGGGCTGTAAGCTTCTGTCTTCTGGTTTCAGCCTTGGAAAAAACACGCCTCTTTTCCCATTAAAAACATGAAGCCATTCCTTTTTAAGAAATGGATATATAGGCCCTGGCTGGGTAGCTCAATGGGTGAGAGCATCGTCCCCATACGCCAAGGCTGTGGTTTTGCGCCCCTTCAGGCCCCACATAGGAGTCAGCCGGTGGATGTGGAAGTAAGCGGAGCAACAGTTGGTGTGTGTTTATTTCTTCCTCCCTCCTTCCCTCCCTTCCTCTCTCTCAAATCAATAAAAAAGTTGATATAAAATCTTTTAAAATTAGTAATTCACCTACCATGAAATTCACCCTTTTGAAGTATATGATTCATGGTGTTAGTACATGCCGAGTTGTGTAACCGTCACCACTGATTTCAGAATATTTTGCCACCCAGAAAGAAGCCCATACCATGCTGTCCCGTCATGGCAGCCACTACCCTGCTGTCCGTCTCTGTGGATTTCCCTCTTCTGCACCCTTTACATGAATGGCATCACACCATGTGTGGCCTTTGGGCTGGCTCCTTCCACGGAGCCTACTGTTCTTAAGGTTCACCCATGTTGCAGCGTGAATCAGTACTTCATTTCTGGTTACAGACGGAAAATATCCTGTTGTGTGGATATGCTACATTTTATTCCATTCATCAGTTGTGGGTGTTTTCACTTTTTTTTTTTCTTTTTTTAATAAAGCTGCTATGAACATTTGTGTACAGGTTTTCATGTGGGCATAGGTTCTCATTTCTCTTGAGTTACACTTATGAGTAGAATTGCAGGGTCATATGGTAACTCTATTTGTAATCATTTGAGGAACTGCCAGACTTTTCCAAAGCAGTTGCACCAGCAGTGTGCAAAGGGTCCCCCCAGCAGTGTGTAAAGGATCTAGTTTCTCCACGTCCTCGCCAGCTCTTGTTGCATTTTATTCTAGTCCTCCTAGCTGTTGCCTCCTTGAACCAGAGTTCACTTCATTGTTAAGCATCACATTTGGGTGTGTTTGTTTAGTTTAAAACAGTGCCCCCCCTTTTTAAGCTTCATGGGTGTTTAATAGTCTCGCTGCCTATTGTTATAGAGTGTCCCGTGTTCCAGGTTTGTCTCTTTCCTGTTGGTGCCACCTCATCTTTCTCTGCTTCCTGATACCAGTGAAAACTGGAAGTTAACTCTAGAGCTTTGGTTAGGTTCAGGTGAGGTTTTTCCTGGCGGAAATGCTTCCTCCGTAGAGAGGCGTGTTTCCTGTTGCATCCCGTCAGGCGGAGCCCGGGTCCGGGAAGCCCGGGCTGACCTGCTAAGGTGGTGGTCGCCAGCTGTCTGTGTTGGCGAAGTGCACTTTCCCCTGGCAATGGGCACACTGTGCGTATGGTTTCAGTTCTGTGTTTAGGACTTTGTTTTGGGTAGATTCTAAAAAATGTAAATACTGGGTCAAAGATCATCAATACTTACAAGTCTTTTCCCATTAACATCTATTGTCAGGTTGCTTTCAAAGCCCACTGCTGGGGCGGGAAGCACCGCCTCTAGTTTGATAGAGAAATATGGCATGCTCCTTTTATTTATTTTATTTTTTAAATTATTTTTATTTTTTAAAGATTTTATTTATTTTTAGAGAGAGGGGAAGAGAGGGAGAAAGGAGAGAAACATCAGTGTGTGGTTGCCTCTTGTGCGCCCCCTACTGGGCACCTGGCCATCATCCCAGGCGTGTGCCAAGGCTGGAGTGCCCTTTTTAAAAATTGTATTTCTCCTGGCTGATGTGGCTCGATGAATTGAGCTCCTGCTTGAAAACCAAAGGGTCCCTAGTTCAGTTTCCAATATAGGGCACATGGCTGGGCTGCCGGCCAGGTCCCTGGTGGGCAGGGCATGAGAGGCAACCCCACACTGATGCTTTAGCTAACCTTATTGTGGTAATCATTTCGATACATGTGTATAGATGTATATAAATATACACACACACACATATATTCATTGTGTTTTTCATTGTTATGTGCCTTAGACTTTCACAACGTTATGTCCATTTATATTTCAAAACTGGGAAGAAAATTTAAAACATCTTGAAAATGAAGTGAAAACTACACACCCCTCCCTCGCAACACTTCACTGCCCAGAGGCAACCACGCTTGCAGCCTGGTGTGTGCACATCGGGCTTTCCTCCTCTGTGTGTGTGTGTTGCCCTGCGTGTCCGGAGAGCCGTTCTGGTGTTTGCACGGGTGGGGCCGCACTGCGCTGCGCTGTGCTGGAACCTCTCGTGCTCTCCACACTGGGCAGCGTGTCGCCAACTACTATCCGAACTAGCACCTAGACATTGGACTCGTTTGAATGGCTCCTTGTTATCCCACAGTTAGACTGTCCCGGGGTTGACCCTCTTCATGGACGGACATTTAACTTGTGTATTTGGGGAGGCAGGGCTGTTAAAACCAGTGCCACTGTACAGTGAATACCCCTGTACCTGTATCTCTGTGGTCGCTTCGTTTGGAAAGAGAGTGATCTCTTCTGTCTGTCTGGACTTTATTTTGCTGAATTAAGATCTGCATTTATTTCTCCGTTTCTTTTATGAGTAGCTGACTGCACAGCACCCTTCTCCTGCAGTGCGCACACTTTGTTGGCCCCATAGTGAACTCCGTATACACTGGGGCACCTTCCCGGGCTGTCTGTCGGTCAGTGCCGTGTGTGGGTCTGACTGTGCTCAGTGGGTCGGATGTGCACGCAGGCGGGTGAGCGGGGCAGGCAGCTGTGACGGTTTGGCGGACAAGCCCGGGGCTGGCGGGTGCCGATCCTGACTTATCTCGGAGCCCTGCTGCCTGACGTGCTGCCTCTTCTCTGTCCCCAGGACCTGTTCCTGACCTTCCCGAGGATTGTCTTCCTGCTGGGCTTTGTCGTGATGCTGAGCTTCCTCTTGGGAGGCTTTCTGTGCTTTGCTCTGTACCTGGCCGCCACCAACCAGACTACCAACGAGTGGTACAGAGGCGACCGGGCCTGGTACCAGCGTTGCTCCCAAGTGGCGGGGGCCCCGTCAGCAGAGCCCCAGGTCTACCGGAACATTCACTCCCACGGGCTTTGGAGCAACCTTGGAGAGATCTTTCTGCCTGCTGCTGCTGCTGCTGCACATTATGAGAAAAAGAGAACATGAGACTGGGAAGAGTGTCACTGCCTTCTAAATACAGTGGACATTTATTTATGCATATGGATTCTTTCCAAGCATTGGCATTTCTGTTTTCTGATCTATGTTTATAAATCGGCTTTCAGTGGTTAAGGGAGGGAAGTGAAAAGTAGGGTTTACTAAGTCCCTAACAGAAATCTCCCATGCTCACCCTCCGTTCACTCAGCCCGCCGGAGTGGAGCTTCTCTGAAGTCCTGGCGACTTCTCAGAGGTCCCCGCTGACCTTGGTCTCCCACTCTGGGCTCAGCTCTCGGACAAAAGGGGCCTAGTGACTGTGTCGCCTGGTGTGTCCCCTGGTCTCAGCGACTTGGAGTTGTGCCTAGCTGTGCCTTCTTGATGCCCTTCCCATATCTCCCAGGGAAAGGCCTTGCGTTTTTGTTTTTTGATATACTTTCCCCCACTTCCTTAACCATACCAGGCCTGCTCTGGGGTCTGCACAGGCATTTTACACAAGGCACATTTCTGTGATGGTGGGCTCTGGCCTGTCCTCCAGTGACCTCTTGTGGCCATATTCAGATCTTTTCAGGCCTTTAAAAAAAATCCATTTATTTTTAAAGAGGGGAGGGGGGGGAATAAAAAGAGGGAAACATCAATGTGTGGTTGCCTCTCCTGCACCCCCAACTGGGGATCTAGCCTGCAACCTAGGCATGTGCCCTGACTGGGAATCGAACCTGTGACCCTTTGGTTCGTGGGCCAGCACTGAATCCCCTGATGCACTGCAGCCAGGGCTCTCTGGCCTGTTTTTAAAATTTCAGACTAAGCCTAGTTAATTGGGCGCAGAGAGATGAGTGCTGGAAAAGAGATTCCTAGAAAGTGCTGAGGGTCTTTAGGGTGGAAGAGCCTTTCGGAGCAGGGCACCTACAATTCCGTGGCTCTCCCGGGCCTCTGTGAAGGGGCTGGGGTATAGGAACTCTGGGGACAGGGCCGGGAGTCGGGCAGGGAGGCGTCCTGTGTCATGGCAGCCCCTTGAGGTCAGACGAGATACCACCTTTAAGATGAGCTGCTTAGGCCCGAGCCCGCCACCACTGCATACTCACAGGTGGAAAAGTACAGGGTGATCCCACCTGTAGGCGAGGAACTCGGGAGAGGGGAGGGGTGGGGAGGGGCGGGGTCGGGGAGCGCAGGCCCAATGAGCGCACACTGGTGCTGTGGTTCCCTGGCGGAGCGGCTCCGCCGGCGGAGCGAAGGCGGGCTCGTGGGGCGGGGGCGGGGGCGGGGCTTGCCTGTGGGCGTCGCGTTGCCCTTCCGCGCCCGCGGACTGAGCCGCCAGGGGGCGACCTCCCGAGAGCGGGCGCTCGCCAAGGACCGTGCTTGACCCCTGCGGGCCGCCGTCGCCGCGCTTGCTTCCCCCCCCGCCGTTCGGCTCCGCGGCCTCGGGCTCCCGCGGCTCTCCGTGGCGCCTCAGTCGCACACCTGGGTTTCCCTCTGGCCGGCGGCGGAGATGGCCCCCTGAGCAGGCCCGAGCGGGGAGCGGCGGGCGGGCGGGCGCCGCGGCCCAGGCCGGGCTCGGCGGGCGGGGCCCGGGTCGCGGCCTCTTTGTCTCCAGGGCGGCGGGCGCGTCCGCTGGGCTCGGGGCGGAAGTCCGGCCGCGCCGCCGGTGCCCCGGGCCGCAGCGGCCGCACCATGAGCGACATCCGCCACTCGCTGCTGCGCCGCGACGCGCTGAGCGCCGCCAAGGAAGTGCTGTACCACCTGGACATCTACTTCAGCAGCCAGCTGCAGAGCGCGCCGCTGCCCATCGTGGACAAGGGCCCGGTGGAGCTGCTGGAAGAGTTCGTGTACCAGGTGCCCAAGGAGCGCGGCGCGCAGCCCAAGGTGCGGCGCGCAGAGCGGCCGGCGGGCGACCGCGGCCGGAGCAGCACACCCCTGCTCCTTACCCCCGACCCGGTGACAGGTGCCGGCCAGACCGTAAACGCCCTTCCTATCCCGGCGCCGTTCTCACCCTTGGCCTTGCTCCTTCCGCTGCAGCTCAGACCTCTGGAGCCCCGAGCATTGCTCAGTTGTGCGGCCAGGCCAGTGACAGCCGTGCTCCCATGGTGTCAAAGGAAGAGACTTTAAAGGCCGGTTACGGACAGTCTCAAACCTCCGTCGGTCATTCTGGGTCCTCCTCACCCCCGGAATGATGCATAATGAAGTGTAATAACATTTCCTGGGATAACAGTAGAGAATTACTCCCTGGCAACCTGGGCTTTAGCGGGATGAAAAGTTCCCTGGGGAAAGCATATTTTCTGTTCTCTTCCTGTCTGAATTAACATGCATGTTAAAACTGAATTTCTCATCACTTCTGGATTTGTTTTATAGAGATTGAATTCACTTCAGGAGCTCCAACTTCTTGAAATCATGTGCAATTATTTCCAGGAGCAAACCAAGGACTCTGTCCGGCAGATTATGTTCTCATCCCTTTTCAGCCCCCAAGGGAACAAAGCTGACGACAGCCGGATGAGCTTGCTGGGGAAACTGGTGTCCATGGCTGTGGCTGTGTGTCGGGTCCCCGTGCTGGAGTGTGCGGCCTCCTGGCTCCAGGTACCTCCCTAGAAATGGCCTTTCCCCCCAGAGTCTCTTAGGGTCAGGAGTTTTCAAGTAATTGGGTTTCTTGAGAGGCCTTTGCCAGATGTTCTGTCCTTGATGTCCCCGTAGGCTGATACCCCAGACCTGTTTTTATACACAGGTAATGACCGTTCTTGAGAAAACAGTAGTTTGCAACAGTAAGTTCATTTTAAAAAGTTAAAAGAAAAGGCTCCATTTTTAGAACAGGTGAAGAATCTTTTTTTTTTTAGTGGAAGTGACTTTATTTATCCTTACTTGAGGACTATTTTTTTCCATTGTTTTTAGAGAAAGAGGAAGTTGGAGAGAGAGAGGGAGAGAAATGTTAATTGGTTGCTCCTCCATGCCCGGAGGGGACTGAACTCACAGTCCAGGCATGTGCCCTGGCCAGAAATTTAACTTTGACCTTTAGTCTAGGGGATGATGCTCCAAACGAGTGAGCGACACTGGCCAGGGTGAAAAGTCATTTTAATTAGTTGGAAATGATAGATAGGATTTTGAAAACAACTAGGCATGCAGCCTCAAATGTAGGATTTTTTTTAAGATTTTATTTATTTACTTATTTTTAAAGAGGGAAGGGAGGGAGAAAGAGAGAGAGAGAAACATCAATGTGTGGTTGCTGGGGGTCATGGCCTGCAACCCAGACATGTACCCTGTCTGGGAATTGAACCTGCAACACTTGGGTCCACGGCCCGCACTCAATCCACTGAGCTATGCCAGCCTGGGTAGGATTTTTTTTAAAAGATCATTCCATGTCAAGTTGTGGCAGGCTCTTTTGTTTTTTATACAGTCAGATCAGACAGCGGTGACCGGTTTGGTGTTTTTCCAGGGCGACGTTACCAGGTAGATGGCAGTCGTGACAGACAGGGACACAGATGCTTTCTAGTGTGTTTTTAACTGTCAGCGAAAGATGTATAGTGACAGTCGATAGTGTGTTAGATGGCGTTTTGGAAGATTGGTTTTGTTTTGCTTTTTTTTTTTTTCTCAAAGCCTTCAAAAGACTAATGAGCCACTTCGAGTAATTACTAACTGAACATTTTGATTACTACCCTTAGTTACGTTGACAGTTTCTGGAGTTCAGTTTCAGACTGTCCTTCTGAAGTTCTTGAAACCATTTGGCTGAGGGTTTTTTTTTTTTTCCAATTTATTTAAATGTTTTTCTTGTAATTTTATTTGTCCTTAATGTTTGGCTAGCAAAAAGACATTTTTTTCTTTATAGGACACAGGTAAATTTCAGTAGATTCCGCCTTAATTCTCACCAGTAGGGTTTCTGGGGCATCTGGATCGATCATGTGTGTTTAACCTCGAGATTGTATCACCCGTGTCCCTTGACGCGGCCCGGGGAAGCCAAGTTCAGCATCCAGTAGCCCATTGCCCATTTCCCCATCTCTCCCTCCTGACGCAGGGTGCCGGTGTCTCGGCACCAGGAGAGTGGATGTGAATGACGGGGCAGGGGCCGCCCCTCTGGGGCCAGGGGCCGCAGCTTCCTCCGGGGAAAGGCAGAGGTGGCCGACGTGGTGCTGTGGGCAGAGTGCAGCCTGATGGACACTGTGGCCTGCTGCGGCCTTCCCGCAGAGGCTGCGTTCAGGCCCTGGGTCTGTGGCGTCCCGAGGGGCTGTTGAGCGTGGCGGCAGTCACGGGTCAGCGTCGGAGGGAGGAGGGAGGAGGCCGGGGCTTGCTGCGGTGCGGCGCCTGAGAGCATCGGAAACCCGCCGGACGCAGGCGTGTCCAGCCCGTGGTGTCCAGCCCGTGGCCCACGGGCTGCACGCGGCCCCACACACGATTGAAAACTGACTTCAGACATCATGAGTTTTTTTGTGGTTTTGTTTTGCGATGTATTTAATGTGTGGCCCACAACAATTCTTATTCCAGTGTGGCCCAGAGATGCCCAAAGGTTGGGCATCCCTGCAGGAGGATACTAGACTGTGAAAGCAGTGGAGAGGGAACTGCTCTAAATCTCGTGATAGTTCACAGACTCCCCTAGAGCTCTTTAAGTCGTAGCAGCTGTTGGTTTTTACCACCGGAGTCTCAACTGCAGGGCTGCGGACGTTGTGAGAAAAGATCTTTCCTTAGTAAACTTCATAGCGAGGGTCGGCGGGCATCTCATGTGAAGGGCGAGATAGTAAATGTCCTGGGCTGTGTGGGTCACGTCGTGGCTGTCACAGCTGTCCAGCTCTGCCCCGATAGTGCGGTAACAGCCTCAGGCGACAGGCGAGCGGGTGAGCAGGGCGACTCAGTGAAACCACGTTCGAGAAAGCGGGTGGCGGGGTGGATCTGGCGCATGGACTTGAGTGTGCCGGCCCCTGCTCCAGCGGGAGCGGTGAGTGTCCTTCCCGCTCCTGGAGGGGGTCCTGGAGGGGTTCCGCTGCTGCTGGTGGGCTTCGCCAGGTGTGTGCAGCGGCTCCCCCGCTGGCCCATGCCCGCCACGGTGACCCGGACTGCGGCCTCTTTCCAGCGGACGCCCGTGGTCTACTGCGTGAGGCTGGCCCGGGCCCTCGTGGAC